GTGCTGCTGTCGTCACCATGTTCTTATGCGCCACTTTGGTGCTGTGCTGTCAAAGCCATCCCAAATTTTATGCACATATTAATATATCTGCATGTCCACCTAGATAAGAGAGGCTGGGCAAAAAAAAAAATGTAAGAAGAAAATAAAGGGACCAATGGTCCTGGAGGGACATGGGAGTGTGGGAGGTAGGGGAAGGTAGGAGGTGTTGGCCAACCAAGGGACAAGGGAATAACAAATGGTTCAAAACCAATGGTAGGGAGGGGATGGGAGGACTGGTAGGGAGTGACCAAGGGCAAGGTAACTGAGAGGAATTATCGAAACCAGAATGAAGGCTGAACATGGTAAAACATTTTCTATGTGTACTATGCATGCTTACATTCTTCAATTTTGACAACCATTGTCACCCTCCTTTATTGCGCTATCCTTTCTTCATTAATGTAAAATCACTGCCTCTATGCTATTTAATCTTTCTGAGTTGCCTCTGTTAATTTGATGCCATATGAACAGTTCTTAAAAGCATAATGTTCTACTGGGCATCTACCCAGAAGAGGCAAGAAACAAACCAAGGCCAGACATCTCTGCTCCAATGTTCATTGAGGCACAGTTCACAATTGCAAGGAGTTGGAAACGACCCAAATTTCCATCAACTGATGAGTGGATTAAAAAGCTGTGGAACTTACATACAATGGAGTACTATGCATCACTAAAAAGCAGTTATGAACGTATGAAGCACATCGCTGCGTGGGAAGAACTGGAGGATATCATGCTAAGCGAAGTAAGTCAAGCACAAAAGGACAAGTACAACATGAGTCCGCTGAGGTAGGCTTTAAAAAGAAAATGCAAACGGGGCATAGGGAAAAAGCTACTGTATACAAACATTCTTGGGGTGAGGACCAGGTAATAGGGCAGGGACCAGATCAAATACAGGGATATACATGATACACAACTAAAAAGGAGGTGGGGAAAAAAAAAAGATATGGGTAGTGGGGGCACAGGGCACTAACCCACTCAAGGGGAGGGTATTGTTTATAGCTCCATAGGGAAAGAGGGACCAGACTTCAACCCAGTGCTCCAAGACATGAATGCAACATGCTGGCGTGGAGTAGGGAACCAGTGGAGAGGTCTGGGGGCTGGCTCCAATCCCAAATATTAAGTGGACACCTGCCCGTCCCCCAAGAAGAATTTACTTCAAAAGAAGGCATTCAATCTGCAGCTCCAGGAGAGGGACATATCTGATCGGAGCACAAGGGTGCAGATGAAGGGGGAAGAGGTGAGAGTGGAGCACATCTTGGCCCACCAGGCCTTGAGGATGATGATCCCAATTAGAGCAGCCAGTCACAGAGGACCACATGGCCAGCCCCACTATGAGACATGACGGCCCTCACTGACCCATAGCCCTACAGGGGACAACACCGGAGACACAGTGTGGGAACTGCACCTGATCTGATCCACCACGCCGAGGCAAAACACGATGGGAGTGCAACAGAACAGCAAGGGAATGGAGCGGCAAGGTCCCCAGGGAATTCTGAAGGTGGACTTGGGGGTCAGGGAATGGTGTCCCAACAGACTGGATTGGAAAACACTCCTAAAGGCCAACAAACAATCCTTGAACTAACTATAAGCTTTTCGTTCTTGTTATGTTTTGTTTTGTTTGTCATTGGTTTGTTGTTGTTGTTTTGTTGTATATTGTTGCTTGGTTTTGCTCTGTCTTGTTTTTGTGCATGTTATTATCTCTGCAGGTCTGT